TGGGCGCGGTGGCGCCATGCGATTTCTGCCATTGGGGCTTTCGATGGAAGTCCTTCTTGGCGCCACGAAACGTTTGAGGGGTGTGCCGAAATTGGTGCGGTGGCGCCATGAGAACCCTGCCACTGGGGCCTCCGGTGGAGCCCCCTTCATGGGGCCACAGAACGTGGAAGGGCGTGCCGAAATATGAGCGGTGGCGCCGTGCGAACTCTGCCACTGGTGCCTTCGGTGGACTTCCAATGGGACCGCGGAACGTGTGAGGGGTGTGCAGAAATTGGTGCGGTGGCGCCATGCGAAACCCCCTATGGGGCCACGGACCGTGTGAGGCAGAGGCAAGGAGGGGGAGAAAGGAGGAGGGGGACGAGGAAGAGGAGAAGAGACGCGGGGCGCTTTCTCTTCAAAACGAGGACCCAACACCACAGGATGGTTGGGAAAAACAGCAAGAGCTCCACGGATTGAGGACGGTTCCTTTTTCAAAATGTGGCTCTCGCTTTAGCGCCGTGCATATTCGTATTCCATATTCTGTAAGAGATTCACGGATTGAAGGCGGGTGGTTTTCAACATGTGGTTCTCGCCTTAGCGCCGTGCACATTCGTTTTCTTATACAGAATGCAATAGTTTCCGCGGATTGAGGGCGGGTCGTGTTCAAAATGTGGTTCTCTCCTTAGTGCCGCGCACATTCTTTTCAAAAATAGAACAAGTTTCACGGAATGAGGGCGGGTGGTTTTCAAAACGTTGGTCTTGCCATAGTGCCGCGCACATTCGATTTTAAATTTTCAAGAGCTTCGCGGGTTACGGGCGGTTCCTCTTCAAAGTGTGGTTCTCGCTTTGGCTCCGCGCACATTGTTTTTAAACATGTGCAAGGGCTTCACTGATTCCCATGATCAACGAATCACACATGGTATTTTGGAGAGATTCAGGGTTGTGAGGGTGCAACAGTCACTTTGATTCACGGTGTCGAAGTCCCAGGACTGGCATTCTGGCACGGTTCAGGATCGTCAAGACGTAACAGTCGGGTTGATCCATGGCGTTGGAGACCCGAGAATAACAAGCGGCACGCTTGCCATGGCTCTTCTTGCACAGAAGGGAGGGGGAAGGAGCAGGAGGTAAAGGAGGAGGACGGGGAAGGGATATAGGGTGCGAGAAATTGGGGAAGGAGGTCCCAACGAGGGCTGCAATATTGGCTTGACAAGGCGAGCTCGAGGAGGCTCCAAGGGCCCTCCCCCGCGGATGGCCTCCAAGACTTACGAAATGCTCCCAGGAGGCCTCCAAAAAACACCCAAAATGTTCACAGAGGATCCGAAGAATTCCCCGGGGGCCCGAAACGGAGGTGGAGGGGGCACGAGGCGGGCGGGGGTTCTACTGGGCCCGTGGGGAACGCTGGGGAAAAGGGGGGCGGGGGCGGGGCGCGCCGCGCGACGCGGAGTAAAATGGTCGGGGCGGAGGGGGGCACTTGGCAGAGGTTCCACTCGGCCGCTGGGGAGCGACGCTGGGGAAAGAGGGGGCGGGGGGCGGGGAGGAGGGGCGCGGTGCGACGCAGAATAAGATTGTCGGTGCGGAGGAGGCACTGGGCGGTGGTTCCACTGGGCCGCTGGGGAACGCTGGGGCGGATGGGAGGGTGGCGGAGGGGATCGAGGGGGGGGTGCGGCGGGGCGGGGCGCGATGTGACGCGGAATAACATGGTCGGGGTGGAGGGGTGAGGGCACTGGGCGGAGGTTCCATTGGGCCGCTGGGGAACGCTGGGGTGGGGGGCAGGGGGGGGGGCGGGGAAATGGGGGGAAAGGTGCGGCGGAACGTTGGGGAGGGGTGGGACAGGCAGAGGGGGGGGGGCCGGGAAGGTGGAGGGCGCGGTGCGACGCGGAATGCAATGGTCGGGACGGAGGGGGCACTGGACGGAGGTTCCATTGGGCCATTGGGGAACGCTAGTGAAAAAGGGCAAGGAGGGCGGGGAAGGGGGCGCGCGGTGCGACGCGGAATAAAAATGTCGGGGCGGGAGGGGGCACCCGGCGGAGGTTCCATGGGCAGCTGGGGAACGCTGCGACTATGGAATGGGTGAAGGGGGCAAGGGGAGGGGGGCGCTGCGACGCGAAATACATTTGTTGTGGCGGAGGGGGGGCGCTGGGCGGGCATAAGCTTCACTGGCCTGCTGAGGAACGCTGGGGCGGTGATGGCATGGGGGGGGGAAGGGGAAGGGGGGGGGGGAGGGGGAGGAGGGGGGCGGGGAGGGGGGGTGGGGGTGCGGCACGGAATACGATGGTCGGGGCGAAAGGGGCGTTTGGCGGATGTTCCATTGGGCCGCTGGGGAACGCTGGGGACAGGTAGGGGGGGGTGGAAAGGGGGGGGGGGTCGGTGCGACGCGGAACAAAGTGGTCGGGGCGGGGGGGAGCATTCGGCGGAAGTTCCAGTTGGCCGCTGGGGAACGCTGGGGAACGGGCAGGAGGGATGCGGGGAGGGGGGAGGTGCGGTGCGACGCGGAATAAGTGGTCGGTCGGGGCGGACGGAACATTTCGCGGAGGTTTCATTGGGACGCTGGGGAACGCTGGGGAGGGGTAGGGGTTTGGGCGGGGGAAGGGGGGCGGTGCGACGCGGAATAACATGGTCGGGGCGGAGTGGGCAATGGGGGGAGGTTCCACCGGGCCACTGGGGAATGCTGAGGAGAGGCAGGACGGGGGGGTGGGCGATGCGACGCGGAACAAAACGGTCGGGACTGAGGGGGCAACGGGCGAAGTTCCATTGGGCCGTTGGGGGACGTTGGGAGGGGTAGGAGGGGACGGTGAGGGGGGGGTGCGGTGCGACGCGGGATAAAGTGGTCGGGGCAGGGGGGGCATTGGGCGGAGGTTCCAGTGGGCCGCTGGGGAACGCTGGGGAGGGGTAGGGAGGGGGGGGGGGGGGGGGGGGAGGGCGGGAGGGAGGGGGCGGCGGTGCGACGCGGAATAGATTGGTCGGGGCGGAGGAGGTATTGGGCGGAGGTTCCATTGGGCCGCTGGGGTACGCTGGGGAGGGGTAGGAGATGGGCGGGGAGCGGGGAAGCGCGGTGCGACGCGAAATAACATGGTCGGGGCGGGGGGGGGAATTCAGGCGGAGGTTACACTGGGCCGCTGAGGAGGGGTAGGGGGGGCGGGGAGGGGGGGGGGCGCGGTGCGACGCGGGATAGAGTGGTCGGGGCAGGGGGGGCATTGGGCGGAGGTTCCACCTGGACGCTGGGGAACGCTGGGGAGGGATAGGAGGGAGGCGGGGAGGGGGTGGGGTGCGGCGCGACGCGGAATATGGTGGTAGGAACTCTAGACACTTTGTGAAAGAGAAGAATGTTTCGGCATTCTTCAGGGTCTCCAAACGGTTGTCTTCCAACGTTGGCAGGACCCTGAGTGGAAATGAATATTTGTATGGGGCCTGCGAAGAGGGAGCTTGGAGGGAGGGTTGATTCCAACACCTCCTCCTCCTCCTCCTCCCTCCTCCTCCTCCTCCTCCTCCTCCTCCTCCTCCTCCTCCTCCTCCTCCTCCTCCTCCTCCTCCTCCTCCTCCTCCTCCTCCTCCTCCTCCTCCTGGGGGCGCTTCGGGCCAGGGGCGCCCCTGGCAACCGCCCGGCCCCTGCGCGCCGCGCTGGCCGCGGCCCTCGCGGCCTGCGCGGCGCCTGCGGGCGGCCGGGAGCGGCGCGGGCCGGAGGCCGCCAGGTGCCAGGAGCGGATGCACCGTAAGAGTGGCCCCCTTCGCCGGAGTGACTTAGATCTGGTGCGGGCCTTCGTGAGGCGTTAGAAAAATGGTCCTGCCTTCGAGGGTGGAAGGAGTTGCCACCTTGTCCGCGGCGGAAGGCGGAAGGCGGCGGAAGTGAGACGGCGGCGGCTCTGCCTGACGGAAGTTGGCAGGAGCTCGGCGGAAGTTGGCGGAAGCCAAAGTCGACCTCTCTAGGCCTCTTAGATGGGGTCGGAGGATCGCGCCGCATCGCCGATGCATCGACGATGCGGCTCGATGCCGAGCCGATTTTCTCCACGCCGACGTCGGCGATGCATCGCCGACGTCGCCGATACATCACCGATGCATCGCCGATGCATCGGCGATGCGGCGCGATCCTCCGACCCCATCTAGGAGGACTCGAGGCCTCCCAAGAGATGCCGATCGGGGCCCGATCGCCCCGCCCTGCCCAGGACCTTGCGGATTCGCTATCGGGAGCCTATCGCCGATCTATCGGCGCTGTATCCGCCGATTCCAGGTCGATGTCCCACCCCTATGCCAGTCCCCCCCTATTGTTGCCCCTCTTGGGCGGCGTGCCTGGATTTGACCTCGCCGCGGCCCCCTAAAGCCGCGCACCAAAAGCCACTCTTGTCCATAGGGACACTCCTGCGTGCGCCCGACAGGAGCCGTGCCAGAGCTGGGAGGAGCTGTACGACAGGTACGCCGCCAGGACTCGAAGCACAACAGGGGGAGCAACCACAAACTTTTGGAGCTCCGCGCGACCTTCTCTTAGATCGGCGATGGCCCCCAGGGGCGGCGCCTCCAGGCGGGGCCTCTGGCGCCGCCCCTGGCGCGCTCCGCGCGGCAGGGAGGGGGGGCCCAGCGCAGATCCAGGAAATCCGCGCGGACCTCCGAAGGTTTCTGTGTGTGCCCTTTTCTGCCCCTGCCCCCCAAAGGATGCAGGCGCGCGCGCGCGAGCGGCGCTGCCCGCGGGCCGCCGCCGTCAGCGCCGCGCTGGCGCGGCACGCCGCGCTGACCGGCTCGCCCGTGCTGCGCGTCGAGGGGGTCTGGCCCGACGGCCAGGGCGGCACCTGCGGGGGCACCGTGGTGCTTAGGAAGCAGCCCAGACATGCTCGCGTCGTTAAAAGGATCAGGACGGGAGGTTTTTGGCTGTTTTCGGCCTCTTGGGCTCCTCGCTGGGCCCCGGCACTGTCAGAAACGATTCAGGATGGAAAAGCCATCCCGGGGCAGTGGTCGAGACCTTTGGGGATTGGCGCTGCGAAAGAAAGTCATAACGCCAGGGGTCTGTGGACGCAGTCAACCAGGCCAGGTGTATGAACGGGGTGTTAGGTCCATGCTCTCCAGTGCATGAACCGAGTGTTAGGTGCTTATGAGCCCAACACTTTGTTAGCGAACCACGGCCACTTGACCCGGCGGCGAGCGGGGGGGTCAATCAGAAGGAGAAGGCCTTCTGAGAATGCGGTGGGACTCCCGCGACCGCCACGAAAAGTTCTTCTGTGCTCGGAGAAGGCTCAGAGAACCTCTCAGAAGGCCGGGGGACTGAGGAGGCCTTCTCCTTCTCACTTCCCCCCCTCGCCCACCGCCGATAAATTACAGTGCCGTTTTTAATACATGCTCCGCGTGCGGATCATGTATTAAGAATGCAGGGGTTTAGTACTAAAAGCAACGAGGAGCTCGTGCATAAATTTACGCACGAATTAATCATGTATTAAAATCCTATATCTATTTTTAATTAAAAAAGGTGCTCTGTACTTCCTCAGGTGCTGGTGGGCACCAACCACACCTCCGCCGCCTCCTCCGCCCGGGCGGGCGAGGTGGCCCGGCGGCTGGGGCCCACGGCCCTCGTGCTGGAGCTCGACGAGGAGCGCCTGCTGCCGTACCTGTGCTGCCCGCGGGAGCACCTCGTGGCCTGGCGCTCCGAGGAGGAGAAGAGCACCCGCACCGCTGCCCCCCGCCCGTCTTCCTCCTTGTTCGGCCTCCTGGGAGGCCGGCGTCGCCGCCGCTGGATTCGCTCCGGAGTCCTGGTCAGAACGCACCCCAGGAGAGGTCCGGGGAGTGGCGGCAAGCATCGGTACCTTTCGGCTTCCCCAGGAACACGGCCACACTCCCCTCCGCCTGCGCGACGCCGGCCGCCGTGTTCCTTCCCTGCTACGTCCAAGGCTCGACGAAGAAAGAGTAGCGTAAAGCTTCGGAGCTCCGCGCGGATTTCCTGGATCGGCGCCGGATCCTCCGGAAGCGCCTCCGGCGCTGCCAGGAGGCGCCAGCACCGATCCAAGCAAGGCGCGCGGACCTCCGAAAGCTTATGTGTGGGCCGTCTTTCTCTTCATCTAAGGTTAGGGCGGGCATGCCCTCCTAGAGGCTGCTTCTGGAAGAAAAATAAAAGATAGCCAAAAAAACAGAAATAGCTGAAGAATCGTCCGCACAGTATGCTTGCGCTATTTTTGTATATTCCTCCTGCAGAGGGACATGCCCGACTTAACTCTAAAGGCGTCCCTGTGTTGTTCGAGGAGGGGCCGCCGGGCAGATTCCGCGTGTCCGGTGAGCGCCTCCCGAAGTCCTCCGCCAGCGTCACGGGCGTGGGGTACCGTGCCAGCAAGAGCCTGCAGGACCGGCACTCGTCCAGAGAGTACGCGAGCTTCGGGGACGTAGTGGAAGGGGTCGACGAGGGCGACGGCTGGGTGAGAGTGGCGTGGGACCCCGAGAGCTTCGGCCTGCTCGACCAGTTCGAGCTGGACCAGATGTGGGTCCTCGCGAGGCGAGAGGGCGCGGAGGTCCACGAGGCCCTCGAGGCCGTCTGCGAGCGCTGCCCCCCGGACGAGCTGCTCGTGGCACTCGCCGACATCCCCTGACCTTCCAGAGAGCTATTTGTTTAGCACTGGAGACCTAAAAACCTAAAAAGCCGGGCGAAACAGCTTAAAACCAAGACGTAGCATAGCTCTGGGATAGGTTTTCAAAGTCGGGTGCTATTTTGAAGCCCTCCTGGAAGGTCAGGGTCGTCACCTCCGCGCAGAGAGACATGCTGGACCCGGTAAGGCTGCGGGGTGCGCACAGACAGCTCCTCCAGGTATAGTCCGCCCCAGCCGGCCCCCGCGGGCCCCCCGAGCTGCCCCGGGCGGTCTCAGCACCCCGGCCACATGGGGCGCGGAGCGCCGGAGGGGCGCCGCCCCGCCGGAGGCGGCGCCGGGTGGTGTCTGCCCAGAGGTCCGGCGTTGCGACGCAATGCAGCAGGAGACCGCGGCAAGAATCGCGACGGGAGCCCTGGGCGCCAATCTGCTGCTGCCTGCCCCGTGCTGGGCTGATACATGTGAGGGTCCTGGGGCCCGAAGCCCGGCGAAAACGTCCGGCCTGAAGAATGGAAGTCCCGACTTGTTCCTCATATGGCCAGTGCCTCATCCTGAGTCATAATGGCCCCTGGGCCCGGCGAGGGCTCCTGAAGGCCGAAGATGGGAAAAAACCGTCCCTCGTGATTTTTGTAAAGACGCCCAGACATCCTCCGATATGTTCTTTCGAATCCGCGGCCACACCGCTCCCGACCCCTCCCCTGGAGGTAGTTTTTCGACCCAGCTCCACTTTTGATGGCTCCGGGGCTCGATGACGGGCCCCGGAAGCCGAAAATTCGGAAACACGCCCAGATTGGGAAAAAAACATACCTTCGGAGATTTGGGAGGATTCTTTGTTTAGATGTCCGTTCGGGGGACCTTGCTGGTGTCTACCTATCGGATATATTCGCATCTAGTTTCTAGTTCTTCGACTCTAGTTTCTAGTTCGACTCGAATTCGACTCTGGTTCCACTCTGACTCGACTCAACTTCGACTCAAGTTCGATACAAGTCGATGGACGCTCGACGCAGCATCGACACGTCAGTGGAGCTAGTGGCTTCACGAAAAAAGAAAGAAATACGCCGTGCACGTCAGAGGTGCATTGGCAAGGTTGTGAAACAGGCCGCTATGTTACAGTTCTGGCGGCTCTGCTGTGGAGCAGCAGCGAATGTACGATGGCAACGAGGCTTTTTTTTCCCCCCCCGGAACTCGAAATCAAGTCTGCAAGCACCCTCGCAGAGCCAGGGCAGGGACCGAAGGCGAGGGGCACGGCTAGGTTAGTTCGTGGCTCCAGGAAGGCACCCCCGAGCGAGCATTTAACTCTGTGCGCAGCCCGAAGCCTTCCTGGCTGGACCCTGCGCGCGACCTGCACCTGGCGGACGCTTGTATCGCGGCGGTGGCCCTCGGACACCGCCTCGTGCTGCTGGTGGCTGGCGAGAGCCACGTGGACCCCGTGGCCGCCGAGCTGCTGCGGCGCAGCCGCTCGGCGGGTGGGCCCGTCACTGGCGCCGCTGAGCAGGATCCTGCCTGCCTCCGCCCATGCCTCGACCTCGTTATCCGCCTCTTTCTCCTCCGCCTCCTCCTCTTCCTCCTCCTCCTCCTCCTCCTCCTCCTCCTCCTCCTCTTCCGTGGCCACGGTAGCTCAAGTTGCAAGACTCCTCGGAGAGTCAAGTGGATACCGCCAGTCCGCAGCAAGCTTCCTGTGTCTCTTCACACCCTTGTCGGGGACGTCGCGCAGCCTCCTCCAGTGTGCCATGGCGCCGTCACGCTGGCCTGCTCACGTGGGAGGCCGTGGTGCTGGAGGGCCGCCCCCGCGCGCAGCCACCGAACGCTCGCCGTGGGTCTGCAAGTCCTGCCACACCGCCAATGGCCAGCGTTTCCGCAACAGTGGTTGGAGCCTCATCTGCGCGGGTTGCAAGCTCCACAAGGGCGTGGCGTTTGGCGAGGCGGTCGTCAGCGGCAAGGAGCCCACTACCCGCGGCAGTGGGCCTGGCAGGGGCGGCGCCACGGGTGACTTCGGCCCTTGGCAGTACGCTGCGATGGAGAAGAAGCTCCGCGAGATTCAGTCCAAGCGCGCCAAGGAGCTCGAGCTGGCTCGTCGTCAAGGAGGCGCTAGCAGCCCAGGGGCCGACGCTGCAGCGGCGGAATCCCCCACCCCCAGGGAACGACGCATGACGACGTTGCCGAGGTGTCCGCCCGCGTCAAGCGGCTCTCGGCCCTGGTCCATGCGGGCGAACACAAGGGGGGCGACGAGAAGGAGAACGTGCAGCGCTGGAAGGCAGAGCTTGACAACCTCAATGCCAAACGACAGGAGAACCTGTCCCTCGGCGAGCGCCTCGCTGCGTGCAACCGCGACATCAAGCGTTTGGAGGTCTCGAGGCCACGTCCAATCGCGACATCGCCGCAACCAAGGCCGACATCGAGCGGCTCGAGGTCAAGCTCGCCCTTCTGCAGGAAAAACTGGCCTGGCACACCAAGGACCTCGCAGCCGCGAAGACCCTCCTGGGCGACCTCTGTCAGCAGAGGATCCACAGGGGGCAAGGACGCGGAGACCATCCCCGCCCTGGAGAACGCGGCTGCGAAGCTCGAGGACCACCTGTACGACGCGGGCCTGGACGGGGCGGAGGTTGTTGAGATCAGCCAGCTGTTCCCCCAGGCCAAGGAGCGCCTCGCCCGGAAGATCTCGGAGGCCAAGCTGCAGCGCCCCTGCGTCCCGCAAGTGGGGGCGCCTGCCCCGCGCCCAGCGCAGATCCCCGCGGCCACGGCGCGGGAGACGGCGGCCTCGAGCCGAGCTTTCCTCCAGCCCCTCGACCAACAGATCCCCGAGGACGACGAGGAGGCGCACGCAGCGGCCACGCTCGCCGCGAAGAGGACCAACACGGACAACGGCAGCGACCTGCAGTCCAGGGCGAAGGAGGACATCCGAGCAGCTGGCGAGAAGGCCGACAGCGCAGGCCGCCAGGCGCCCGTGCGCAGCTCGGCTGACGGCGGCCCTGAGGACGCCGGCGCGCCCTCTCGCGCTGATGGCCAACCCGAGGCTGGCCGTGGAGGCTCGCGGCGGCCCTAGCTCCAGCTCGGACATCCATATCCTCTACGGCAACATCACGGAGCGGGGCCCGCAGGCGCGGGGACTCTTCCAGTCGGGCCGCGCCAATGCTTTCGATGGGTCGGCGTTCGCGGAGCCCCGTCGGTCCGAGACCAACTTCAGCGGCATCATCAAGGCCTTCCATAAGGAAGGGTGGAAGGCGACGCGCTCTCCCGGCACTTCCACGGGCAAGGGCGGCGCTACTGGCGGCGAGGCGATGGCGGCCCGCCCCCGCCTCCAAGCCACCACCTTCGACCACCGGGCGGGGCCCGAAGGGCGCCTCGCTGCGCGGCTTAGCCCCGGCGGCCCTCCACGCGGCCGCGGGCGCCGCCGCGGTCGTCTCCGTGCACCTGCGCCCCGCGCTAGGGTTCCGAAAAACGAAACAGGGACACGCCGGTCGCCCTGGGGGCCTTCCTGGCGCAGCTCCGCACGCACGCAATGGGTCGCGGTGGGCGACTGGGACTTCGAGCCACGTCAGCTCGGCGCCGCCCAGTAGGTTACCCGACTCAGGGGAGAGCCCATCCTGCCCGACGTCTCGGCCACTTGCGACAAGGGCAAAGGCGCTTGCTGGACAACGGCATCGCCATGGAGGGCTTCGCGCATCTGTTCCAAGTGGAGGCATGCCTGACAGCCCCTTGGGCGACGCACTGCGACCTCGTGCTCATCCTCAGAGGCGCCCGTCAACGTTGGCGGCGCCAGACCCTGGACGCCCCGCCCAGCCCCCCCACGGCCCAACGCAGCATGCCCAAGGCCGACCCCGACAGCAACAGGTCGCGACAGCGGCGGGGGGCGTCGGCCAGGAGGGCCGCGCGACTCCCCGAGGGGATCGGCCGAGACTTCTTGGACGTCAACCAGGCCGCATGCCACGACGGCATGGCGCACCCCAGCGGGCAGGAACGGTCGGCGCTGACCGAGGCTGGCGTCGCGGCCAGCGGGCGCGCGATGGACCGCCCCCAGCCATTCCCCAAAAGGGTGGCAGCCTCAGCCAACCATTGCGGCGAGTGGGGCCCCTTCGACAACCTTGAGGAGGAGCCTGAGGACGCGGCGCCGCCGGGCCCCGCCGTCGTCGGCGCGCCCGCCGCGGGCGCAAGTTGAGCGCATATCTCGAGCAGCCAGCTGCAGGCCGCCAACCAACCTCCCGGCCCCCCCTGGGGGCAGCAGGAGGCCCCAGCACGCGCCCCTGAGCCGCCCGCCACGGCCGCCCATTTCCGCGCCCCTGAGGAGGCGCGGAATGCGACGGCCACCCAGCGCAGGCACAGCGAGGTGCTCCAACCCAGGATATTGCGGCACCCCTTTCATCGAGACGCGCGCGGTGCAGGCGCGGACCCTGGCCCACCTCTGCGGCTCGCGGGCCTCCCAGCAGGAGGTTGCCATCCTCGCGCGCGAAGGGCGGGGCGAGCTCAATTGGGGCGCGGTGCGAGGCTTTGGGCTCACCTGGAAGCTCACGGCGGCCAGCCTAGGCCGCGCGCACCTCCGCGACCCCGAGGCCGACGCGCGGGCGACCCGCCGCGCCAAGCTCGCGGCCATCAGCGCGGGGGCAGCGAGAGGCAAGGACCCTGGGCAGATGCTGCGGCGACAGGACCTCCACCGCTCCGCCCTGCGCGACATCGGCAAGCTTTCCGCCGCGCAGCTCCTGGACAAGTTCGAGGTGCACATGGGGGGGGGGGGCGCGGACCTCGGCGCGAGGACCCTACGTGAACTGGCTGAGCTTCGGGACCTTGCGCGGATACTTGCGGGCGACGCTGGCAGGAGAGCCCTTCGGGGGGGCAGACGTAGATTTGCGGCCTGGGCAGAGAAGGCCACCATGGGGCAGCTCCACCGATGGTCCAAGGACGTCGACATGGAGCGCCTGGAGGACCAGACCAACGGCGGCATGGTGGCGAACCCCGTCGACGCCACGGCGACCAAGGCGGCCGCCTGGGCCACAGCGTGGACTGCCCCGCGCGACAGGAAGCAAGCCATGCCGACAGCGCCGGCGCAACTACGTCTTCGAGTTGCGGACGAAGACCTCCCACCGCTCACGGTGGATGGATTCAATTCTGCCGCGCGTAAACCTGGACCGCGCAAGGCCCAGTGCGTCGACAGGCTCAGCCCCCGCGACAGCGAGAGGCCCCCCGACAGTGGCAAGGAGCAGTTCCTGGGCACCCTCCACCAGGCCGAGCGGCACTGCACGTGGCCGCCGCAGCTCAATGGCACGCTGGGCGCAGTGGTGGGCAAACCTGCAAGGGTGGATCGAGTCCTCGGCCTTCCCCCCATGTCCATCCGCATCTGGGCTCGGGCCCGCAGCGGGACCACTGGTCGCAGGTCCTCGAGGACCACTGGGACACGGCCATCAAGGGCTCCTCCGCACTGCGCGCCGCGCTGTACAGGGCGACCTTAGACGAGACGGCTCAGCATTTCGGCGTGCACCACGCGTCCCTCTACGCCGACATTGCGAAGTTCGTCTGCTCGATCGGCCTGGCCTGGCTCATCGACAGGTCCCTCCATTTGGGTTTCTCGCCCATCACCTCCTCCTCCTCCCTCCCTCCTTTTCAGGCGGGGTCGGGCATTGACGGATCGCCCCCCCCCCCCCCCCCGTAGGCAAGTCGATTGAGGAAGTCTCCAATGGCGTGACACACATTCGAGCGGGCCAGTGCAACCCCCAGTCCGTTTCGCTGATCGACGCGGGTTTCGCCGTGTGGACGTCGATCAGCTACTCCACTGGGGTGCACTATGCGGTGCCATGCGCACGTGGAATGTCCCTGGCAGCTTTCAATAAAATGTTTTTTGCTGAAGGGGGTTCCGTCCACCCCCGAGGGGGGACGTCAGGCTTCGAGGATGGAGATGTTCTGGCGATTTCGTTGGTCCCCAGCGACTTCCCAGCCTCGGGGATGCGTTCCAGCAGCTGCGCCTCGTCGAGAGCGTTTTGGGGGTGCCCGGATCGTCCCGAACGGCCAGCGGAGAGCCGAGTTACGGCCCGATAGGCACGGGGCAACGGGTCGCAGAGCAGAAGCCCGCGGCGGCCGGCAGCGGCGGCCCACGACGGCGACGACGACGACGACGACGACAACGACGGCCATAACGGGCGGGTCGGGTGGGTGGAACCCGTGGGCGGGTCGGCGGCGGGTCTGGCGGGCGATCCCTGGCGGGCAGGTCGGAGGGCGGGTCTCGCGGGCGGACCCGTGGGCGCCGCCGAGCAGGAGCCCGCGGCGGCTGGCGGCAGCTGGGCCGCGCACCGCCCGGTGGTCAGAGGAGGAAACCCTGACCCCCTCGCGTCTTGACGAAATCACGACGGAAAGTTGTTGGCCGTTGTCGACATTTAAGGGGACCTTTGCCGGGCCCCAGGATGAAAAACATGTCCTAGGAGAAATGGGTCAAGATTGGTGGGACCACGTTATGATTATCATTATTACATAGCATATACACATACATATTTATATATATATATATACACACATATATATAATATTTGTGTTGTTTGTTTTCAGGGGCCTGGGAATGCACCCGTACCGTTACCTTTCCCTCGTTTGCGCCTTTTTGGGCCCCTTTAAGGGCCTTCGTCGCCACGGGCCCGCCTCGAAGCCCTGGTCACAGAACGCACCCCTGGAGAGGTCTGGGGGGGGGGGGCAGCGGTATCGGTGCCTTCCTGGTTTCGCACAGGTTTTCCTTTGCAGGGAGGGGGTGGACGCGGTGTTGGCGCGGCGGGAGCAGCTGCGAGGCATGGCCACGCCGGAGGAGTGATGAGGCCTCGGGGTTGCGGACAGACAGCCCCCCCAGATAGTCCCAGCTGGCCTCGACAGGCCCTCCGAGTAGTCTGGGGCGCCCTCAGCACACCTCCACCCCAGGGCGCGGAGCGCCCCAGCAGCGCCGCCAGAGGCCGCGCCAAGGTGTTGAGACCGCCCTGAACTATTCGGGGGCGTTGCTGAGGCCAGCCATGACTACCTGGGGGGGCTGCCTGTCCGCAGCCCGAGGCCCTACCGTCACGAGCGGCGAACATCTCCGTATCCGCGCCCTCGCGGTCTGGACTCCGAGGCGCGATCTCCCGGTTGACGCGTGGTCCCCGGGCCGCACGGGTGCATCTGTCGCCGGGCAGCCGCGACAAGACGCCTCGTATCCTCCTCCTCCTCCTCCTCCTCCTCCTCCTCCTCCTCCTCCTCCTCCTCCTCCTCTCCTCCTCCTCCTCCTCCCTCCTCCTCCTCCTCCTCCTCCTCCTCCTCCTCCCTCCTCCTCCCTCTCCTCCTCCTCTCCTCCCTCCTCCTCCTCCTCCTCCTCCTCCTCCTCCCTCCTCCTCTTTTTTCGAGCCTGGAGGCCACGGATGCGGATGTGTACTCCGGATCTCATAACAATGGGGGGGGGGGTCTGATCCGGGGGGGTCTCACGGGCTCCGTCAAGCACAGCTGTGGGGGGGGTCTCGATTTGGGACCTCCTGCTGCCTGTCTTGGGGGGGGAGGGTCCCAGACCGGCCGTCAAACACTTCTTTGACCCCCCCCCCCACTGTTATGAGCTTTGGTGCATCCCGCCCGCGCTGCCGCGGAGGAGATCCGGGGCGCCCTGCGGGACTTCATGGCTGGCCTGGCGCGCGACCAGGCCTCCTCTGCCGGCCCGGGCTGCCGAGGCCCGCCCCCGCTGCGCCGCTTCGCGCTCGCCGCGGGCCTGCAGGACCCCGGGGGGCAAGGCTGGGAAAGGGGCTGTAGGCTGAGGAGGGGGGACGTTAAAACGACGCGAAGATCGGGACAAAATCGGATCGGGATAACTCGAAATCTTTGAGAATCGGCGGGTTTGGAGGATGTATTGGGCGCCGCGGCCGCTCCGTTCCGGAACGCTCTGAGAGCGCTCCGGAACGCTCTGGAGCGATTTATCCAGATCCTAGCCTTGTTTTAAACGTTTTGGATTTTCAAGGCTCGAGGTTTCCGGGCGCTTTCGTCGGTTCTCGGAGGTTTTCCAGCCTCGGGTCGACCTCCAGCGGCTGGGAAAGGGGCTGTAGGCTGAGGAGGGGGGACGTTTTGGATGTTCAAGGCTCGGGGTTTCCGGGCGCTTTCGTCGGTGATCGGAGGTTTTCCAGCCTCGGGTCGACCTCCAGCGGCTGCGTCTTGCCGGAGGCGTTCTGGGGAGGATCGTCCCGAACGGCCGTTGGGCAGCCGAGTCATGACCCGAAAGACCGGGGGAGGTGCATCTGCCCCCATTCGCCGATCCGCCCCCGACGGGATGCTGCCCTCGGGGCCTCGTCGCCGAGGCATCGGCGATGCATCGCCGATGCCAGCTCGATGCTTTCCGCCCTCGAGCTCGTCCCCCCCCCCCCCTGCAGCCAAGACGCCCAAACAAGGACCACCTTGGTCGCTGAGCCGCTCCTCAAACCTGGGCCGGCAAGCCGGCTCGTGGCCGGGGCCCGCGGTGGCCAGAGAGGCCCTCTTCGGTCCCCGGCAGCACGCTGACCCCAGACCCCGGACGCCAGGAGTTCTTCGCAGCGTCGACCCCCCTGAGGTCTCGACCCCTTCCCCGCGGGTCCGGCTCTTCACCCGGGGTCATTCTCTGACCGCCCTGGGGCCTGGCGAGCCCCCCCCCACCCGAGGCCGAAAACGTGCGGGAAACTTCCCGTCGTGGTCCCAGACACCCGCCGATGTGATTCCTTCAATGCGCGGCCCCAGAGCTCCCGACCCCATTCCTGGGGGTGCTTTTTCGTCCTGGGCCTATGCCCCAGAGGCAGAAATCTAAAACAAACGCCGGGATTGAAAAAAAACGCGACTCACGAAAGCCATCGAAAAACGGGACCATTGTTGCGTCTTGGCGTCCACTTGGGGGTCCTCCCCTTCCCCCCCTCCTCCCCCTCCTCCTCACCCTCCTTCTCCTCCTCCTTCTCGTGAGCACTGCATCGTTTGTTGACCAGTCAGTTCTGTCCCACTGCATTGCCATCAACATGACATTGTCATGTAGCCAGTTCCAGCTCCTCCTCCTCCTTCTCCTCCTCCTCCTCATCCTCCTACTACTACTACTACTACTACTACTACTACTACTACTACTACTACTACTACTACTACTACTACTACTACTACTACTAACTACTAACTACTACTACTACTACTACTACTACTACTACTACTACTACTACTACTACTACTACTACTACTACTACTACTACTACTACTACTACTACTACTACTACTACTACTACTACTACTACTACTACTACTACTACTACTACTACTACTACTACTACTACTTATTCCCCTCCTTATTATCCTCCGTCTCCTCGGAGATCTGGGATCCTTGCACGACGCGAGGGGTCTGGGCAACCAACGTTCACTTGGGCGCCAATCGTCGTCGTATCGTCGTCTTCGTCCTCGTCCTCGTCGTTGTCGTCGTCGTCGACTTGTCGTCGCCACCGCCGCCGTAGTCGCCGCCGTCGTCGCCGCCGTCGTCGTCGTCGTCGTCGAGTTGTCGTCGTTGTCATCGTGCGGCCATCGGCAGTCGTCGTCGCCGTCGCCGTCGCCGCCGCCGGCAGCTGCCGCCGGCCGCCGCGGGCTCCTCGGCGGCCCGCTGCCCCCTGCACTTCGTGTCGGCGCTCCGGCGGCCGGTCGGGGCGGTCTGGGCCCCCCCCCCGGGAAGCTCTCGGCGAGGCGCAGCTGCTGGCACGCCCCCCGGAGGCTGGGAAGCCGCTGAGAGCCGACGAAATCGCCAGAACATCTCCATCCTCGACGCCTGACGTCCCCCCTCGGGGGTGGACAGGACCCCCTTCAGCAAAAAGCCTTGCATTGAAAGCTGCCAGAGACATCGATTTCTCTTGAGCCCCTTCAGCAAAAAGCTTTGATTGAAAACCCAGATCCTCGAGGCCTGATTTCGTCTTCGTCGTCGTCGTTCGTCGTTCGTCGTTCGTCGTTCGTCGTTCGTCGTCGTCGTCGTCGTCGTCGTCGTCGTCGTCGTCGTCGTCGTCGTCGTCGTCGTGGTCGTGGTCGTGGTCGTGGTCGTGGTTGTCGTTGTCGTCGTCGTCGTCGTCGCCGTCGTCGTTGTCGTGGTCGTGGTCGTGGTTGTCGTTGTCGTCGTCGTCGGCACATGCGCCATGTCGATTGTCTCGAGACGCGGGCCCCCTACCCCTCGACCACCTTCCCGGAGACCAGCGTTCCATCTCGATCCGTGTCCGACCCAGATCATGCGTTACCCAAAAATTTCGGTAACGAAACTCGATCTCGGTCGTTCTCGTTTTCGGTAACAAAGTCGGTAACGGTTACCAGTCGCTACCGGTAGCTACCGGTAGCGACCGGTAACCGTTACCGGTCGCTACCGGTAGCTACCGGTAGCGACCGTCAGGCTGAGGCGTCATCTGACGTCAGATCTACCCTCTGACGTCAGATCACGCCGTCTGACGTCAGATCAGGCATCTTAGCAGATGAGACCTAAAATCTGACGACCGTCTGACGTCAGAGGGCTCATCTGACGCCTCATTTTTGATGACATGGCTGTAGGTTGTAGGTTGTGGCTGTAGGTTGTAGGTTGTAGGTTGTAGGTTGTAGGTTGTAGGTTGTAGGCCTCATTTTTGCTGACATTATTGTCATGCTATGATGTAGGTAATCTTTTACTATGATGTTGCTGATGTATGTGATGATGTATGTTTACTAAGGTAGACGCTCTTTTGCTATGATGTAGGTGATCTTCACACTGTACGATGATGGTCAAAAAAGGAGAGGAGGAGGAGGAGGAGGAGGAGGAGGAGAGGAGGAGGAGGAGGAGGAGGAGGAGTACAGGATGAGCAGGAAGAGGAGGAGGAGTCGGAGGAGGAGGAGGAGGAGGAGGAGGATCGACGATCGAGGATCGAGGAACAGTCAGTTACTTTGAGGAGGATCGAGGATTGCTTGCTTGAGGAGGATCGAGGAGCAGTCAGTGAACGTCTCCAGTGGGGGGGAGAGGCGAGAGGGGGATTTAGCCTCGAGGAGCGAACGTCGCCACGCTGGGTTTGCCTCGAAGTTCTGCGCGGCGCTGGTCTTGGCTCATGAGAGGGCCTTGGCGCGTCGGTTTGGCCCCATCCATCTTCGCGCCCTCACTTTCGAAACGTCACCGCGCTGGATTCGCCTCGAACTTCTGCGCGGAGTCGCTCTGGGCTCTCAGAGAGCCCTGGCACGTCGGCTTGGGCGCGACAGTCCCTCCCCCCTCGAGCGCCACCAGCTGGAATCGCCTCGAAGTTCTGCGCGGCGTCGCCCTGGGGCTCTCAGAGGGCCCTGGCACGTCGTTTCAGGCCCTCTTCCACTCTGTCCAGAGCCTTCCCCCCTACCTCCCCGTTTCGGACTCGCCTCGAAATCCAATGGAAGAGGTAGAGAAGGAGGAAGGATGAAGGGGAAGGATGAAAAGGGGGAGGAGAATGAGCAGGAAAAGGAGGAGGAGGAGAAAGGAGAATGAGGAGAAGGAGGCCTTTGTTACCATTCGCCGCCACCACCACCACCATCAGCATCATCCTCCCTCTCCCTCCCTCCAGCCAGTTTTGGCTCGAACGCCACCATGGTTCTCCAGGTGGACTCGTCGGCGGACGGTCCGCCACCACAGGTGGTGGCGAACCGCGCCGTCGACCCCCCCGACGGTCTGGACATAGACCGTCCTGGAGAGCTCAATCCGATTGTCGGACTTGAGCTCGAGGGGACGGACGTGCTCGGAGTCGAGCTCGTCGGTGGGGAGCGTAGGGCTCCCCCACCGCCACCCGCGCTTCCCCCGTGCGGTCGCTCTCCGCTTCCGCCATGGGCGCCCCACAGGCTCGAGCTGCCCCAGCCCGAGGTCTGCCCTCCGTTCTGGCACTTCGTGCCCTTCAACGAGGTGCCCGAGGTGTGGTTCATACCGACCTGGCACCCCAGGCGCAGGATGGGCAGGGACGACCCCAGCGCCATCGTGATGGTCTTCAGGACGCCAATGGGGCCGTGGCCAGTCGGGTTCCCCGTTCGGGCCTCCTTCTTGCTCCCCCTTTCCATGAAAACGCAATGCGTCCTATGTAATCCCAGAGGTTCTGCTGGTACTCCTACCTCGTCCAGGACGGTATCCTGCTCCCCTCGGATGCGCAGAACGCCCCGTTGGTCCCGCTGCCGCGCTTCACGGGCCTTTGAGCCAGGTCGCGCGCCACAAAAAAAAAAACCTGTCATAGTTTACCCTAACTCCTCCCGACCCCTCCTCCATGACTCCATGATTCCTCCTCCTCCCTCCCCCTGCTTCTTCTCCTGACTGACCCTCCACCTTCCCTCCTTGCCCATATCATCATAAGTTATCCTCCTCCCTCCCTCATTATCCTCCTCTTCTTGCTCCCTTCCTCTCTGCCCTACCCTGGATCCAATTTCAAATGTAGTCATCTCTATCTATCTCTTCCTCTATCCTCCGTCCCCCTCTCAAGCCGAGGAACCAGGACATGACGTCAGCCAGGTATCGCTCAGTCACCTAAAATATACCCTCCTTCTCCTCCATCCTGCTCCTCCTACCCTCCTCGAATCCTCATCCTGCCTCCCTCGGTTTCCTCCTCCTCCTCCTCCTCCTCTTCCCCCTCCTCCTCCTCCTCCTCCTCATCCACCTCCTACCTCCATCATTCCCTTCCTTCCCATCGTTCGTCTCCTCTCACCCCGCTGCCCGTTCGACCATTCCCATCCCCCACCCCCCTTGACCACGCTCCGCCCCTTAGCATTTGGTTCGAGATGTCC